TTTTGTAAAGCTGATAGAAGAGATACGTTTTTCGTCGAGACAAGATTTTTTTACGGTCAAATTGAACAAGCATAAACGAGTCTTGATCTCAAACCCCAAAGCAAGCCTCSGTCTCTCTGAGAACCAGTGTTATGGTGGCTCTATCGGCTCAAAACACCACACAAAATATTGAACAGAGGGTTCTCCATCTACACAAAAAGTTTGGTCTMGAAAATTTACCTTCCCCCGAGTGAGAGAAAGGAAAGAAGACTCTTAGTTTCCTTTCTCTCTCTCGGGGGAAGGTAAAGGAGACTCTGCTCGCAGGGTAACCTCACAATGGAAATATTGCGAAAAACGTATCTCTTTCCCTACGCTTCTTAGTAAATTTGCCCCCCAGATAATATGGYGTCGGAAACCATGAAAGGATCTRTAAATAAACTAATATAWAACTCGTGTGAGTACTCTTTTATGTAAATAGTGACGCCGTAAATTCCCCGTCCACCCACTCATTGAAGGTTTCGGCATGAAAACCCCTTTTTTCATAAAAATATTCGACTAGAAATAGACACGTTTAGCTAACCAAAACAAAAATCATTACTTTAGTTAATACTATTTTAGATCAATGACGCAGTAGAAATTCCTGGCCCGCCCCCATTTAAGCTTTCGGCATGAAATACGTTTTTTTCATAAAGATATTCGACTCAAAAATAAATTTGTTTTGCTAGATAGTAGGCATTTGATATTTTTCTCTTATTCTCTCTATTTCATTATATACACACCGAACGCACAATTTATTACTACTATACTATGTCTATTCTTTGCGTACATATTTACGGTGTTCAACTTATCTATAGAGAAAAAATATCGCTCTGGGATCCTCACGAATACCCTACATTTCATATTCTGGCTGCGTTACCAGCGTGGTTGGTCCTTGTAGTGTAGTGGTTAACACATCGAACTGGAATACCAAAGACGTGGGTTCGAATCCTGCCAAGGGCATTTGATATTTTTCTCYTATTCTCTCTATTTCATTATATACACACCGAACGYATAATTTATTACTACTATACTTAGTTTAAAGTAAGTTGGATTAAGGCAGTCTTACCACGAAAACCACATATGTTCAACCTCTTTCAACTAATCCGTGTCCCGATCTCACAGATCTCGACGTCCATTTTCACCTCGTGTTTCACCAATGTCAATCATGACGAGGTCCACCAATGGCRTCTTCGATATAGGTCTCATGTTCGTAACACTAAATTCCAATCATACCTAACTCACCAAAAACAAATGAATTGTGCCCATAGACCCTGCACAAAAATATCCTACGTACTTTAGTTTCGCATTGACTGGTCACGTTGAACAGAATAGAGTGATTTTCATATGACTGTGAAAGAAAATAGACCATTTAGTTTGTAATAGTTGATAAAGAACAAAAGAAAATCATTGGTTTAGAGTCTACTACTAACTATTAGTTTGCCTATTCTTTCACGATCATATGAAAATCACTCTAGACCACGGCAAGTGTTTGGCAATGTTCGTTCATTTCAATGTCCTAACAAGGATCTCTGTGCCTACGCTACTCTGGAGCACTATTTACAAGTAACACAACCCGTTACGGAAGTCCTCACAACTGTTTGTGTCATGGTATCATGGTAACCCGGATGTACGTAATGATTTGACAGAATTTAAAAAATTAAGCAAGACTTACCTGGTAATAATACAGGGTCTAAACCACAGGCGTGGGGATGAGTGACACTAGTTGTCTACAAGATTGGTCAGGGACAGGGAAAATCTAAGAAATACCGTAGGGGATTAAACCATGGGCGTGGGGATGAGAAAGACACTAGCAATTTATAGGGTAGGCCAGGGACAGGCTACGCTTTTAAACGTATTAAACCATGTGCGTGGGGATGGGAAAGGCCTATAGCTTAGTGATTTATAGATTAGGCCTGGGACAGGGTACGCCTGGGACAGGGTACGCCTGGGACAGCGTACACATTGATACACAGCAGGCCAACTATATCAAAGTTCACGAGGTTAGGATTCAATTTRTATGGAGCTGATCACATATAAGGTTACCACGGTAACACTACGTCGGCTATAATGAAGGCCATTCTTTTCATTAAAAAGTTAAAAACTCAATATTTCCACGGTGAATTTTTTATAAACTTTTTATAGTGAGAGTACGTTACCTCACCATTCATTTGAAACAACGCTAAAGCATTCGTTACTACAAATTAATTTATTACAGAGAACACTTGTTTTGCACTATAAAACCAAAATATATTATTATTATTATTATTATTATTGTTGTTGTTGTTGTTGTTGTTGTTCTAAACTATTTACGCCTTTTTGTTGCTAAAATTTAATGATATGGATGACATGGAACATTTAATAAGTTAATATATGAAATGGCGCCTATCTTGAGCGAATTTATTTCGATTTCAACTCCCCAACACCAAAATCTATATTATAATATCTTTGCATGGAAACGGATGGTGATTAAGTTTCTCCCTATGTTTACTCGGCGCGCTATACCTTGCTGTGTAAAACTGTTATAAAACGGGTTTTTTTTATTACGGTTTTGTTAGCTTTTGCTTCGGCCTGATTTTTTTTCTTTTTCTTTCTTTATCTTTTTACCTTGTTATTTTTAAATATTTTTGAATCTTTGAGTTTTCCATTGTYTGTTTTTGTTTGCTTGTTTTTGGTTTCCTTTAATTCCCGCTGTGTTTTTTGCTGTATAACCAATTCAAATATCAGTTGTTATAGCATTTTTGAGCAGRATTTGATGGTGAAAACAGTAGTAGTATAGCTAATTAAGAGTCGTGTTATAATTCCTGTAAAAATAACACATTTACATATATCTGGTTTGAACAGTTTAGCCTTCTTTTATGTTTAAATTTAGACATGGCAACTCAGGTAACTAATATGAKGATATCCACTTTTTGTATTTAGAAAGCTAGCAGTTTTTACTGTTAGATATTTGCAACCCATTTTCTTATTGCATGACTTGAGGGGCCACTGTTTGACATGCCGCTCTGATTTAATCTATAGAATTTCACTTTTAAAATTAATGATGTTTCTTTGTTGAATCATGAACATCATTTGAATGTTAAAGGTTGGCATATGTCATAAACACACAAAACACAGGATTTGTATTTTTTGGTATTACGTTAGAAAGTTTGAGTAATTAAAGATAACTATCCCCGAAACCTCCTGCGTATGTACACTTGCTATATGTAATGCGTGAAGTTAAGTCTTGTCATTGATAGCATGACTGGGATATATTTACCACAGACCAGTTGGCGACCGAAATGACACAGATGTAGTAATAGACAAGGTTGTATGAACGGTTTGGCTGCTTGCTGAGAGTGCGATAACTCGTTCGGTACTCCAGTTATTGTAAATACAGGACTGTATGGCCCGTTCCATACACCACTCTACTCACATGTGCCGAACGCAATTGATGAATTATGCACGGCAAAAGAGCGGGGTATGAATCTGGTATGCACAGATCTTGCCACATTAACTTAATATACGACATTGGAACGACAGCTGATTCCATTCTCGTACCCAAAGCCTTCTTAGCTTTCTAACGAAACGATARAAAGAAAGAAATGACGTTTCAAACACTAAACCTGAATCCTAAATAAAATAACTATGACTGAATCTGTGCCAAAATATATATATTTTCCGAGAAAGTAAAAAAGTGCAGTTGAAGGTACCAGTAACACTGAATAGCAACCTGAAATTCTACTTGCATAATTTTAAACTGATAAAACAAATAAAATTGAACTTGTTCTATAACAGAGAACGTCGAATTACAGATTAGAGATCTTCCATAGTCGCTTCCTTAGTCATGCTTGCATTGACATATCAATCCCTAGATAACAATATCTGAGTATTTGTTCAAATGTTTACAGGACATCAGGGAATTAGTGGAAACTAAAACGGAATATGGTTTGTTTGTTACCAAGTTGATAATGAATTCGGTATCGATTCTGTAATTTCAGTCTCATTGACATTTTCCTCTTATTTTTCCCTCCCATTCACAGCTCTTCTTTAATTTCTTGCTTCCGTTATSCATCGAGTAATATTTTAAAAAAAACTTCACAATACTTTAAAACCAGCCACTCTCATTCTGGACAATGTTCAGCCTTTGTTTTTTTGAATATGAAAGGAAATCGCAAGATCTCGAGTACAATTCGGACAAGTGATGTTTTGAAAGTTTTCAAAATTGGACGAGCCTTTAGGCGAGTTCAATATGATAACTTTCAAAACATCAAGATTATCTATAAATTCTGAATTGTACGAGAAGATTGTGCGATTTTATGTTCATAATACGCTCAAAAAAATKGAGAATTTGAGAATTAATTGTACTCCTCTTGTCAAATCAGAATCGAGTAATTTTGTAGAGTGTATTATAAGTTGAATATTGTTCATCATTAGGCCAGCCTCTATCGACCTTATAATAAAATGGAAAGTCTCATTACCAAACGAGACTCACTAAAAAATCTGCTGATTTATTTTTATTTAAAAAGAAACAAAAGCTGAATTTCGTCTGTGTATCCACTTTTTTGGATTTATAAGATTTGAAGGRAAAAAATTGTACAAAGTGAAAAATCTTTGTTATTAAAAGTGCCACCACAAAAAATAAACATTCTACAATATATAAGCAATTAAGTCGCGGTCTTCTCTTTTAAGAGATTCCCACTGAATAAATTTAAGGTCTTTTTAATATGAAAATCAATTGCCGGAAAACTTTCAACACGTTGGCTCTGAAATTCGTAGGCATTTTTGACTACTGTTGTCAAAATATTTCATAATTGTTTTCAAATGTCAGTGTAGTGAGCAAGAGCCATGCATTAATTATGTTTTGGTCCAGGAAGAGGAATAGCCATTCAGTGAATTGTTATATATCATGACCAAATTGAAATGTCACCTCGAAATCATTTTATAATCATTATCTAGTAAAATAGAATTTATATATTTACAAAGAAATATTCGTAGGAAGAAAATTGGCCAAAAAGTTTTTTTTTTCACATTGAAATATTTAGTRATATAATTAATGTGGGACAGGTGCTACTCTAGTAGGTCGTTTGCATCGTAACAAGCAAATGAATGTACTTCGAAATTCTCTGTTCATAGCTGCATAGATAGCAGGATTCAAAGCAGAGTTGATCGTAGCGAACATCACAGCTCCGGCATAAAGATATGAATTTACAAAACTGGTTTTTATTGTGTCTATTATCATTATAAGAAATAGAGGAGTCCAAAAAATGATGAATGAACCCAAAACCAGCGCCACCATTTTTGCAGCCTTAGCTTCTCTTACGAACGAACTCGTGACTGTTGAACTTCGAGAATAGTTCAACATAATACTGTTCATGGCTGCGGATATTCGCGTTGAATGCATTCTTGCTGTCTTAAAAATTCTGTAATATGCAACAACCATGAATACTGAAGGAAATACGGCAGCGGTACAAACAGTGATGATGTAACTTCGATCTAAGTTTAAAGTTACTTGGCAAAAAAGTCCTGATTTGGCGAACATAACTTCCCTCCAACCCATATACGGGATGAATCCAAAGACTGTCGAGAATATCCAGACAGACGCGATGATTCCAGCAATGAGTCTACGTCTCATGATAGTTTTGTATCTTAGAGGAGACATAATAGCCAAGTAACGATCCAAACTTACAGCCCCAAGGTTGGCAACCGCGTTAAACATCAAAGAAACAGCAACAGCTATAGTTGCATGGCAATAACGCAGACCTTTATGGTAGTCGATCCGCGGGCCAACAATGTTAGATATAATAATCAAAGGAACGACTAATACTGAAATCAATAGATCGCCTATGGCAAGACTTGCTATGAAAGCACTTGTTCTCGTTTGCAGTCTCTTGTTCAGGGCGATAGAAGCGATAACCAGGCAGTTACCAGTAAAGATTACAATTGCAACGACAATAACACCAAAACACATCAATACGATTGTGGTATCACTTTTTGAGCTCACAAAAGTTGAATTGTGCACCATGGCCAATATGAGTTGATTCCCAAACTCGTAGGAAAGAAAATATGGGATTTTTGATCCAATCACGAAACGGAASTAATGTACGTGTTGCGACGTGAATCGGCCATCGGCAATACTTGCTTTGACTCARCCGTAAAGACTTTTAGACACTGTAACTAAGAATATTAGCAGCAAGCATACAAATTGATCCAATCCCAATTCAGGCACCTGATGTCTCGTGTGAATTTTAACTATCAATTCAAGCCCTTATTTAGCATTTCAAATGTCAAATGTTTAAGTGCCTTCATCTTCATTTTCTTCATTCTCAAAATTAAAATACTATTTAATCTGTAACTGGGTTTCTTTAAGTCTGTCAAATGATCTTTTTTTTTTCAGCGACAACTTTTTAGCTTTTCTTGATAAACACGATTATTTTGCTAATGAATTCATAATATTTAATGCCACTCTTTTGTTCCAAGAAAATGTGAACAAATATTCAAGTGGCAATGAATGGACAGAGCTCTGTAGGTCTGGGAGGATTTTATGAGCAATGCTAATAAAGTAAACCAACTGTTTAAACAAAGGATTCTTCCCTGGTTTAACTATTCATGAGCTTGAGAGACGAATTTAGATAAAACGAATAAAATTTTTAAAGATTAAAAAATTATTGAAAGGTGATTGAAACAGTCTGAAAAGGCAACAAAAGAAGAAAWAAAGAAAAAAGAAGAGAAAAGAAAAAAAGAAGAAGAAGAAGAAGAAATCAGAATGGATACTGAAGAAATCAAAGACTATGCAAATACGGAATGTTTAGAGTAAGAATGAACAATGTGAGCTGCATTCGACTCTAGTTTCGAAGACAAAGCTYTAATTATTGCTTTCTTAATCCCTTTCTAAATTTTGTATGATGTTTGTGATTCCGTTAATTCCAGATTAWGGCAACCATCTGGACGTTTCGTGAATATAATAATAAAGTGCTATACCAAAAATAKCTGTTGTAGTCAGTAGAGTGTTGAGTATGATCATCAATCGCCTCATTCTAAAATAAAAATAAAAATGGGATCTCGCTTATTCTACTAACCATATGACCTATGTGTATAAGACACAGAACCTGAATGCCTTCCCATGTGGTATATTCAAGATCGTAGTACTTAGTACTAATCCCACATAGAGTCTTTTGTTTGACAGTCAATGGAGGAGCAAAAGAAACGCAGCTTGTCTTAAATCACATTATTTTTCCACATCGATATTCGTGATGAGATTCTCAAGTGAACATGTTTGTTTTATATTATAAAGTAAAGGAAGAACAAAAAACGAAGGAAGGTCATTAAGGAAAGAAAGGGGAAAAGGAAGCAGTGAAGAGAATATTCTAATAGTCCAAACACGGTCTAGTGTTGAGCCTGAGAAACTATACAGAATTTTTTTTTTTTTTTTTTCTTTTTTTCTCAGAAGTCTATTTTATCATGTTTTGTTAATGTTGTATCTGTCCCTTTCAGTTCTTTATTTATATTTGCCATATATTTGCGAGTATTGTTTCTTCGGTGTTTCATGGTTATCTATTAAATACTGACATTAATAACGAAAAATTTATCCAATGCCTCATTCCAGAAATTTAAAAATTTAGTATATTTGATTWTCGAACGACGAAAAAAGTTCTTGAGTCACGGTTTTGTTGAGACAGCTAATAAATATCTACAAGAGAAAACAGTGAGTGCAGACTTATTTTTAGAACTCTAATACATGGATAGCATTCATGATGAAAAAGATACCATAGCTAWTCCCGTTTTCCGTCCAATCATACTCTCTCGGTAGTTCCAAATTTCCTCGTGTTACGCCAACAACGGCTCTTGATATAAAATAGTGACTCTTAAGTTTGCATTGATATTGTTTTTCAATCCATCAAAATTACGTAATATGTACGCAGAGAACATATGTCATTTTTATAAATTTAGACTTTTAGTTTTCACTAGAATATTCACAGTACGAAATAAAATGAATAAAATAAAACGCCTATCCTTAAACATTCATAGAGAGATATAAATTGTAAACCTYGAGAGAGAGTTTTATTAAAACAAGATAAGAAAGGACAATAGAAATATTTTAAACAAATAAACATAGAATTATTTTTTTCATACTCTACTTATATGTTAGCCAGAACGGCTCAAGGGTGGATCCAGCCAAAATTTTAAGGGGGGGAGGGGGGGGGCTCATTGAGTTTAGGGAGGGGGCTAATTTGAGGGGAGGGGGAATTCTTCGATCAACACACAACGGAATACAATAAAAAAATGCAACTAATCCTTCAGTTTAATTTGGTCTTTTTTTCCTTCAGCCCCCCTTTGCCCCCCCACCATGGATCCGCCCTTGCGGCTCATTCGGCCAAAATGATGTCCGAAAATTCAAATGCGGATCTGAAGGTTTATGGGTAAAATTAAATTGATGAAAAACCTTTTCGAATTCCAGCACTAGAAAGAGCCACTTTACAACGATTGATTATGTCAAGTGTTATATCGACTGAGATAACTCAAGTTAAGAACTGAGCAATTCAAAAAACTTTCGTATCATAACGGAAGATATGGCGTAGGGTAGTCTTTTTAGTATAAGAGCTGGTATCAGTTTCACATACATAACCATTTTAC